TCCCCCCCCCCTCTCTCCCCCACTCACCCAATCATTCACTCACCCCTCCTTCACGATAGCGAGATGGAGGGCGGGGTGTGGGGTCTAGTGACCATCTTGTCCGCCTTCATGATCCAAGTGCTGACGTTCGGAACCACGGCGAGTATCGGAGTGTACAATGTGGAGCTCCTCAGTTTCTTTCCCGGATCCACTGTGGGCGTGTCTCTCATTGGCTCAATCAACCTGGGCCTCTATATGGGGTCAGGTACAGAAACAATAACTCTTTAAACACTGAGTTTTTTCACCGTTTCCCGGAGTTTTTTTTCTACAGTCATATAAACCAGACTATATTTAGACGGATTTATTTTCCTTAACAACTTAAATGTTGTTAAATGTCAAATGTTGTTGTTGTTGTTGTTGTTGTTTCTTTTCAAAATCATTTCAGTTTTTATATACTGCCGTTCTGTCTTTGAGCTGCAGAATTACACCCAACAATTAGTCCATATAATATTGTAATGTACCTTTTGTTTCATCATTATCTGTGCTTTGCCATCGCATGCAAGAGGCATGAGTTCAATTTCCGAATGGCGAGAATTTTGTATCAATTACCTCGGTCTTTCTGCTCCGATGTTGTATCCGTTTCAGCCATGATACCCCTTACAAGCAGGATTGAGCCCGCCTCCTAAATGATCTAAATTGTGTTGTAAAAGCACCTTCTTCATAGCTTTTCCAATAGCTGGACGTTGTTTCTCTATTGAATCTTTCTGCACTAAAATACTCTACCTCTTGCCATTCTGCTTTCCCGCGTTGTTTTGGTTCCAAGCCAGGTTTCTATAAGCTTATGTCATGTTCTCATTTTCTGGAAAGTCACATCCTTCAACTTTGCTTTCACTTTTTTTTAAAGCCCACATCAAAGCAACAGCGTCTTTTGTTTCAGGTCCAATTGTGAGTTTCCTGATGACCAAGTTCAGCCACCGACGTATAGCGCTGTGTGGCTCAGGGCTGGTGGTGGTAGGGCTGCTGGGCATGCCTCTGTTGCCTTACATACCCACCATGTGTCTCTCCTTCGGCGTGCTGGCAGGTCAGACATGATTCTTTTATTGTCGATAAAGTGCTGAAATATTAAGTCCAGAAAGCAAAAGTTTACACACACACACACGCACACAC